GCATGTCAGTGTTTGAAGCATTTGGAAAATGCCCTTAATAACAGGCTTTAATTTTTGGTCGGTCCTAAAGTGGTCAGGCAGTTGGACTAGATGATCACTGTAGGTCTCTTCCAAATGAACTGTTCTATTCTATTCTATTCTATTCTATTCTATTCAACTTGTTGACAGTTCTCCATTTTTTTCAGCTTGCTTCTGAAAGCTGTAGTCAATGGGGCAATATAATGTATAATACCTCCTGAAGTGACAAATATGAATTTACGTATGAGATTGTTTTACTCCAGTCTAAAATAGCCCCAATACCACACTATGTGAAGATACAGTTGTCTCGGTTCCAGGTGCTGTGAAAGCACAGCTAGAAGTACAGTTTGCCATGGGAGACATTACTACACTTAATGAAATCTCCTTTGTTTCTTGCAGCTCTGAAAGTGCTGTTTTGTAAATACATCAAGTTACATCCATACAAACACACACAAAGATTACAGTGCTTTAATAGTCTTCTTTTAATCATCATCACTAACAATAATATGAAGCACATCCACATGCAGAGAAATGGGGTTTCTTTTGTGAGAGATGAAAATATCTTCACATTGGATCTGGTTTTATTTCTTATTCTCTCTTTTCATAAAAGAAAAAAAAGCAAACACAAAACCAAAGCTGAGCAATATGCAGTTATAAATATCTATACAGTTTGAACGGATTACTGTTTCTTCTGTGATACATATGGAAGACAAAAAACAACAAAGCTTGTTATAAATATTTTTTTTGTTATGTGTGTTAACTCAGCTGGAACATCTCTGTAAGACTTTCTGGTCTACTCAGCAGCATTTTGTTTCTCATCCTTTGTTAGCTGATGTCTGCAACCTGTTGGTTTAATCTTTTCTCTCTCTAAACTATATATAAAATATGTATAGATTATACATAGATTTTTAACACTTTCTTAACACTTAAAGGAAAGGTGTTAGCATAATTTACAGTAATGTATTTATATAATTAACACTTCAGAATAATTATAGTAGTTAAGCTTTGGTTATTATATGGTATGAATATTCTCTAATAATTAAGAAGTTTATTTTCCTTCAGTGTTACTTATATTTTGGTTCAGTCAAAACATTTTACTAGTAATTATTTTTTCTTTTAAGTTTCATGCATATGTGCTTAACCCACAGTTCTTTCAATATTTAACTGCTAAAGAACTGGTAGCTCTTGATTCATTTCCTCTCTATTTCAAACCTCTTTAACCTTCTTCATAGCCCAAGAATCATTCTGTTCTTTATAAGTGCTATGCTTAGATGTTTGTTTGAAAGAACACTACTGATACCAATAATTACATTACTAGGTCTAGATGTTTTATGTTGTTATATTTTTGCAGTTTTTCAAAACTTAATTCTGATTGATGAACCCATCAACTCTTAAGAATAATTGTTACATTCATCTCTTACGTAAGCTTGGGGTCCTTATTTTACATTTACTGTTTTTCTGTCTTCCTTAATTTGAGACTTTTGTTACTTCCCTGGAGACCTCCAGTCATCCTCTTTTTACAGCAGATGCCAGCTATTTATTCTACAGGCTTTTTTCCTGCTTTATAACTGAGCTTTCATGCCTACTGTCTCCGCCCAATTTTGTGATTAACCTCTGCAGCAGGACAGCGTGCATTTGTAATCACTCTTCTCACAGTTCATCTGATTTCTCCTATTTGAATATTCAGCATTTCCTTCTTTGGTTGCTAAACCTTTAAGTACCTTCTTTCTACATTCTCTTCATCAGAGTAGACCATCTTACTTACATCAGGTACAGCCTACATGTGACATTTTAAGTTTTGCATTATATTGATGGATGTGTTAGCACCCAGCAGGATACCGAGGCTCTTTATTTCCCTATCAGCTTTACAAATACAGATTTACTTTAGTTCTTTTTTGCTTTGCTACCCCCTTCTGCTACTTTCAAGGGCATTGGGGAATCACATCAGCAAAGGTATCAGTTAATATGGATGCTAATTTATACTCTTCACAGTCTTCCACATCTAGGTTCTTTATGTGAGGATTTTCGTTTTACTGCTCCTTTATATTTTGCAATCTCTTGATCGGGTCTGGAGGTTCCCAGGAGGTGCACACAAGCACACGTACGTACACAGAGCCCGCCAATGCCAGATCCAACATGGACAGCAGAACTCTGCTTTTACAAGCTCCTCACACACACTGACAGCAGTCACGTAAGCATGAACAACATGAATGGCCTGGTACTGCTTTTTCTTACCAGTGAGTCAGTCTCAAAGCTTGCTAGTAGATTTTACACTTACGCACTCTCAAGGATCTCTCTCTGGTAGCTTCCATGTCCTTCTGCTCCAACCCAGCAAAGAGGACACCAGACGCTGTGTAGCATCGGCACTTTATTCACTGAGCACCTTGACACAACCATCAGCCTTAATCAGCCGTGCAGCCACCCCAGCAGCTGTGGCGCTCAACATCCACCCATGCTCTGGGACAATGCTACATTACTTAATAACTGTGTTAACAGTTGTCATGGCCCAAGGCCATCCAGGAATGGTCAGGCTCTCTTTTTCTCCTTTAGACACACTCTGCTTTTTTCTCCCCAAAATGGCAACTCTCACAGCAACGCTGGGCTCCGACACAAACATAAACAATCACTTTTAATATATACAGGAGGAGGATCGCTTATCATCATGTATACACTACTTTGGCCTCTTCAGGTAAAAAGGTGGTACGCCACTCAGGGTCCAGATTCTGTTTGGCCACATGGACCATCTCTCTTTTTCTTACTTAAGGCATCTTAATGTCAAGCTACCTCATAGGTAACTCTTCCCTCTTTAGATTGCAAGCATACGATGCAACTGATGTAAGAAACCAGTGTTTCAGCAACATGCTACTAAAAACCTATTAATTCAATGATCAATAATAATTAATAAACATAATTATTATATTACATTTATATACATTTGCATTTGATTACACACAGTGACAAAGCTACTGATTATTACTCTTCAGTCTCACAAATCACATGCAGCTACTATTGAATTACAACTCTATCACCCTTGTCTCCCGTACTAATTAGCACTGGGGTGCGATTCTATCTGTCTTTACTTTGTCCTCCAACACCACACAGAATGTTTGCCCTTGGATTGTTTTAATGACCTTCCTGGTTTCTTAGAGAGTAGCTAGTTACGAGGACTGGTGTTCCAGGAGGACTTCTTGCTTACAATCTACCATCATGAAATCAGGGAGATAAGATCTCTTCTTAAACAACTAAATAACTTCAGATTTTAAATAATAAAGGAAAAATGTTATCCTACAGTCTGGGTACCACTCTAGTTTTATAGTCACCTAAAGATCACACTGTGCATCATAACCTATTCCTGGTGGAACAGTGAAGTTAGAGCTAAATGTTTCTGTGGCACTGCACTACTCTGCAGCAACACTTAAAAATGAAGGAAGTAGCAAATGGAAGGCTAACGCATAAGGTGCCTGGAAAGAGTTTGTTACTGAAAGAAACTCTTTCAGGTTATGTGGCAGGACATTTGAGAGTCTTAAGGCATTGTTTCCAACTCCACTAGTCATCTCTTTTTTTAGAAGAATGCAAGCCATTAAAATTGCTGGCAACTCAGTCCATGTCTGAAGATGGTCCTTGTACTTTCATTACTGTGTGTTAAATTTTTTTTTCACTTGCCCCCTTGAAAGGAGAAATTTGCCTTCATTTTGTGTGTGTGAGACTGCGGCAGAAAGAGAGTAAGCACTAGTGTTAGGTCACACAGAGAATCTCTATTGAAGCCATGAACTGCACTGATGTTCCCAACTCACATGTCCATTCTTTACTTGTGAGATCATGCTTCAGCAATAGTAATCTGTACTGTATAACTTCCTCCCACCAAATTGTATACATTTGTATGTAAAACTCTATAGTAGACGTGCCAGCTCATTTAAGTGCCTGTTTTCCCCCATACGGATCTAATTTGCATTAGGAAGACAAATGGAAAATTCTAATACTCAGGAAGGCTGAAACTAGTTGAGATGCACTACATATTACATTACTTTTCCCTCCTTGTTAAATCCTTTTTCTGTGGCTGTCTCTTCAGACCTTTAAACTCAGAACTTGATGTAGACAGTTTATTGGTTTCCAGGTAGCGGTCTGAGGATCAAACCACTGCAGGTGCGTGGCTAAGAGGTGTTAATCGGGTGATGGATGCATAAAAACCAGGAATACAACTCAGCAGTTAAACTGAATTAAAGCAAGACTCCAACTGATTACAGTGGACTTTAGATCAAATCCCAATAGGTTTGGGGTAACACGCACTGTAACAAATCTGAAAAACCCTCTGCTTCCCTGATTTTGCTCTTCATAGATCTACCAAATGACTTTTCTTTCCTAATATAGTTGTGTTCTGCTGAACTGCAACTTTCAGGAAAAAGTCAGAAGAATTAATGAGGTCTGAACTGTTCCTGAGAATTTATTCTTAGCAGAAGATATGAATGTACCCACACAATATTTAACTTTAAAACATTGCCAGAGGTTACCCGTGAAGATGTGTTAAAAAAATCATCTACCAAAATGTTTTTGGAAATCAGTGAAATAGGGAATATTTCACACAGAGGCCAGAAGTTCACCAAATTATTGCAAACTCAATCAATTTTCTTGTCTTCTGTTTTGCTGTTATTTTGGACAGTCCTTTCATTTACCTGTGCTCCAAAGGACATTTTCCCTTCCCTTTACCAACATGGTCTGGTACCTAGCTGTTTAGAAATGAAGTAAGTGCCTTTTGAAGAGTGGTAAACAGAAGTTTGGAGACCTAGTCATGCTAACTGGTTCAACTTTCACAGGGAATCCTAACATGAAGGTGATGTAAATCCTGAGGGCAGGTATTGAGTGGGAAAGTAGAAGGTTTGGCTTGTATTGTTGCCTAAGGCTGAGACATAAACACGTGTTAAATCATGAAAGGCAATGTTATGGACAGTTTTGAAATCTTCAGTAATAAATAAGCAGTGTGGTTTATGCTTTCAGAATATGAAATCGAGAGATCATTTTTCCTAAGAATGAAATGTGTCCTAGCGAAGAGGAATGCAGGATTGACATGCAGTGGCTACAAGGTAATGTATATAAGTTTTTTGTTTTCCCCAAATGCTCAACAAGTGACAGGTTTATTTGTTTAGATTTTTTTAATATATGTGTAACTGAAAGCACAGTCTGTGATATAAAGAATCAGAACAGATGCAAAAATGCCATCGCTGACTGCAGATTCCCTTAATGATGCAAGTCTAGGCTCTCACAGTGAGCTAGAGTTTGCTTCATGGCACATTCCCACATCTTGATCCCTGATCTTCCAGGTTGTGGCTGGAGCACAGCCACAGAGGTGGAAGGAGAGGACACAGCTAGGTCTTATTCCCCTATGGAACTGGAGGCATGTGAGGCAGGAACCCAGACACAGTAACTTGGAAGTCTTCCCACATCCCTCTGCCTCAGTGCCACTGTGCTCCAGCTGAGCAGCCGCCCAGTTGCACAAGTCACTTCACTGGTCTCAACATTAATGGGACCCTAATGTTACCCTAAACAGTAGTTACTGTCAACTCAGGGTTGAACCGTGCTAAAACATCAAGTCTGTTTATAAATCTTATAATTTGTATTAATTTTCTATCTCTTATATGAAATCAGAAGCCATGGCAAATGCTGAGATTCTATAATAGCACCTGCCATTCAGGCACTTTCAGATTTACAGTGTGCATTTGCTGCTTTTTGCATTGCACAGTGTAATTCTATCACTTAAGCATCAAGAGAGAAAGGACTTCACATACAGTCAGGAGAAGATTCATTTTGTTTGAGCCATTCAAAAACAAAAAGAAAAGCATGCAAGAGAAGCAAAACTCTTTTAAGGAATGTGTTCAAGGTCCAGGACAAATATCTGTCTATTTACACTGGTATCTACCTGGTGTGACTGATAATTCTTCATTACATAGACCCCTGTTTGCTCAGCTGCTTCTCAGCAGAAATGATTCTGTCCCAAAGCTGAATCTGAAATCAGGTAAAAGAATAGAGTCTGTAGTGGTGGTACCTCTGTATGTTTGTGGGTTATTTTTCTTCATTTATGACTGCTGAGCAGAGGGATCACCTTCTTTCCTCTTTTGTTCACTATTGAAATTCTGTACAGTGAAATTTTTAAAGATGTGTTCATCTAGAGAGATGTTGTCCTAAATCTATTCTCCTTGACTATACTTAGAGTCAGGACTTAATAATTTTGAAAATATCACCTGATTAGCTGAAGCTTAGGAAAGACTCATGAATCAAATACTATGGGAATTAGCAGGATCTGCTGAGAGATGTTAAGTAGGTTTTCTTGCTACTTTACTTTTGCTAAACATTCTAATCACTTGGTGATTGGAGATGGAGAAGGAAGGTTATACAGGAGGAACCTAGTTATAGGTGACTGCTTAGTAGATTTTTCATGAGTACTAAATACAGTAGAAATTAATTCCTTTCCACTGGACACAGTTGAAAGTCAAACAAACAGAGAAAAGAAGCTGAAGGATGTGTAGCGTGCCTGCTGTTTGGAATAGAAAATTGGCTGGAGAACAAGTGATTTCTAAACACCAACACTACATTAAATAAATCTTATGTTCTGAAATAGTACCCAGGTTACAATTCTACCTCCCTCTTTAGCTGACATTGTGAATTTTTACAGTCTAACACTGCAGTTATGACTCCTGTGATTAGAATTGTATGTGGTGATTCAGAAACCTGGTCTCAGGACCCTGGGCTTGATCACATGTCAAGAGAATATCATGTGAACTTGACTGAAGAAATTAAAACTAATTTCTAGTGCATTTGCATATACACCAGTTAATCTTTATAAAATCACTGGATTTTTAAAGTGTCTGGTTTTCTTCAGAATAATAACTCATTAAAATGTATTTATATATGCCTCTGTATGTATGTGTGAAAAAGAGGGAGAATCATTTTTAAAAAGCAACTTCCAGATTCTTTGATTAATGAACAGGAATTTAGACTGTATCTAGAAGAAATGTATATAAAAGAGAGTTTAAAGTACTAACTACAAAGCAGTCTAGATAGTCCCCGAAGAGCAGGTGCTTTAATACTGGATTAATCATGTTGGCAGTAAACACTAAAACTGCACTCACTGTGTTTTAATCTACATTTATAAATTAATCGCACTTCTGAAACCTTGAGAGACTATGCACATTTTAAGTGTTATTGAGTGTATTTCTTTATAAATCCACTGAAACCAGGTGGACAGCTGAATTGCAGCCTCTTCCATTGCCATCAGCTATTGAGTGTGTTTTCTTCTCATGCCAGGTGATCCACTGCAGTGGCTATTTGAAGATCCGGCAGTATATGCTAGATATGTCTTTGTATGATTCCTGTTACCAAATCGTTGGACTGGTGGCTGTAGGTCAATCTTTACCTCCCAGTGCAATCACTGAGATCAAACTTCACAGTAACATGTTTATGTTCAGAGCAAGTTTGGACTTAAAATTAATATTCCTAGATTCCAGGTAAGCAGCTATTTCATTTCTAGCATAAAAATGTTTTCAAAGTCGAGTGTTATCTTAAGCTATAGAGGTTTCCAAACAGATCAAAATATCCATGAAAAAATAAAGCAGTCCAAAATAGATCTAAAACACAAGCACCATGTGGATCTTCAGAGCCCCTCAGGCATCTTGATAGACCATACTTTGTCTTGTCCTATAAGAAACTGTGTAATTTAACCTATCATTATTATAGTTTCAGAGCAACAACTGAAGCCTTCATGCTGTGAGTAGCTGGCAGATGAGCAGTAATACCTCTTTACCTTAAAGGATATACATTTTGACATACAAAGCCAGTGAATTAAAAACAAACAAATAAACAAACCCCACACAATTGAAACACTGAGGTCAAATTACTTCCAGAAATCTTCTGACTGAGTAGTATGAAAACAGTCTTCTGCACTTTAGTGTAATGTCTTAACAAAGAAACCAGCCCTAATAATGGTGTTGTTAGAATGAAGACTAGTTCAGTTGGCTGCTACATGAAAATACACCCTTCTAAGACAAAACTTAGGAAAACGGGTATTGCTGAATCCTGCCTCCACTATGAGGTGATATATCTCAAATACCAGCTAAGAAAAGCGCAGAACTCAAGTAGAAGTGAATGATTCATTCCACTCTTTCTGAAACACAGTATCTTTTAGTATAAAATGATACTTTATATGGTGCAATTCAAGATATGTTAAGGGGGAAAGCCCAATTCCCAGATAATATAACAGATTTGACTATTGACAAGACGATCATTCTTCAAAAATCCCTGCAAGTGAAGCAGGATGTCACATACTTTCTCATTTCCCTGGCATGCTGGATTTACAAGAAGCAGAAATACTATTCATCTGTAGCAGTGAAAAAGAGTCTGTATCCAAGATAGTTGGGAAGTTTGGCATGGCAGGTCAACCATGCAAGAACATGCTATTTCTCAACTCTAAGTCAATGAGATAGTGAGCCATCGGACGCTAAATTACAAAGAACTAGTTGTTTCTGGATTATTTTTATTTTTGGCATGCTTTACTTAATGTAACAGTTACAAAGAAGCACAAGGGTTTTAGCAACATGTCTTTGCATGTGGAAAAAAGGAAATGATGTGCCTAAGAGGAACTGCCTGGAGACATAAGAGTCTTCAAAAGAGACAGTATAACCAGAGGTGTTGACAGGAGCACAGACGGAACCAGTAGCATTGCATAGCTGTGTTTACCAAAGAGCAGATGGGTGTCATCCACACACAGGACAATCAAGGATATTAAGCATTACCAATTTGCTCTCCCAGCTGAGCAAACCAAATTATATTTGCTCAGAGCAGGGACATATCAGGAATAAGACAAAACCATTCTCAGGCTTGTTTCTGATATCCATTCAAGGAAATCTAGGTCTTTAAAGGCAACAGTCACAGCAAACAGGCCAGTATGAAAGCCATGGGAAGGAGCAGATAGTTGATACAATGCAAAACATGCAAAAATTCGTTTATCAAGGTCAATAGAAAAAGGAGACAGTTACTTCCCTCCAAAGTGATATGCTGCTTCTAATTTTCATGGTGCAGCCTATTCATTCATTGCTACACAGTCTGCAAGGCTTTAGAGAACTCTAGAGGGCAGAACTGATCATTGGGGCAAGCTCTATTTACTTCTGTGTGCCCTGTCATGCACAAAGAATGATCTTCAGAGCTCAGGCCTCTTAAACAGTGGCTTATTGAGGGGTTTGTTTAGTGTTAAGAAGGTCAGGCAGCTGAGTTTATTTCCAAATTCAAACTTTTCAAAAGTTTGGGTGTCCCTCTAACTGTTATTGATGTGGGGTTTTTCAGCATGTGGGAAGACCTAGTTCAAAGTGAGGCTGCACCTCCAGAAAAATTAACACCTGTCTTAGGTTTTGGCATTTGGTTTAATTTTTGAATTTGTTGTTTCTGTGCTCACCGATTAAGTGAGCAGGATGAGACTGCCACCCTTGTTTTAATTCCGCTGAAGTCAGAAGAAGCACTGAAACAGGATCTTTCACCAGTATTTCACCATGCTGAGAGGCTTAAGAAAGAATCTGGGCTCCTGGAATTGTAAATCAGGAGGGACAGTGCACACTGCAGAGGAGAAATACGAGCATATGTTCACATATCCTCCTGCAGATAGGGGGTACGTGCTCACTCCATATTGGTAGTCTCTGACTGAGGCAAAGCCATGAAAGAGTTTCCCAGATGAAGGTGTAAGTAGGGGAGGGATGAATCTATTTGTATTGTATTTATAATAAAGCAGACCACAAAGGTGTTTTTCAGTCCTCCCTCCCCGATTTTCTTCAGAAGAAACCCACTCCTGTCTTTCTTAAGTAGAATGTAAAGTCTTCAGTCTCTGTTTAGTCCACATGATTTCTTAGCATTAGTAAAGAATATATATTTTATAAAATAATAGTTACAAAAGAAAAAATAAACAAAGTTTACATTATCTGCAACTGTCATTGTCACGTTACTTGAGACCCCTCAATTCATTTCTGTGGATACTACTGTGTTATTCTCTGATACAGTGTATCCTCGTTAGTCTTTAAGTTCAGACCAGAAGCATCCTTTGGAAGTGAATGTCTCAACTCTCCTCACTCATCCTGCTGCAGTTCACATCGTGAAGAGCCCTTAGGCATGTGAACCGAATTCCTTCTGGATGAATCTAAACTGGAAGACAACCTCCAAGAGCATGTTTAAGGCACTCAAACTATTATAGATCTTTCAGTCCACAGGCCTAGACTAGAGCTACTCCCAAGCAAAAGTCCCAAAATTAAAATACGCAGATGCATCTGCTGCTGCAGAAGTAGTTCCTTAGCAGTAGCCATATTACTCTACAGAATGCCTACTTGCTAATGTAGATATGCCTTTGTATGGTACCTCTGTTCTGCCTTTTCAGGTGAAGAAAGCCCAGGACAGCATAAAACACCCCCAGCAACACTAGGTAAACAAGCCACACTATGGCTGAGTTGCACAATGTACTTTCAGGATTTTTGTTCTCGAGTAGCAGTGCTAAATAAACAAAAGCCCATTTTTAACGATGAAGTTTCTGACTCTTCGGTTCTGACCCAGTGTAAGTCTGACCAGTGTAGTCTGGTTCTTTAACACCTACAGAGACACTGCTGTTTCACATTTGTTCCATTATTCTACTTCTCATTACGTGGGGACATTTTTCTGAAGTCCAGCTTCAGCCTTCCTTTTCTTAGCTTGTGATCCTCACAGCTCCTTGTCTTTCCACATTCTCAGCTGAAATAAGCTCCTGCTTCCTTCTTCTGTTAGGAGTTAGACTGAACTTATTTATAGACCATGATGACAGCTTCCATGGACTGACATACATGTTACATTTCTATGTTTGCAAAAGCAAATGAAAACGTCTAAGTTGTCCACAAGAATACTTTTATTGTTTTATGAATGGCTCCTCCACTGGATCTTTGTGCAAAGGATCATGCATGGCAGTGGCAAAAAAACCAAAGTGGAAATAAGTAAAAGAACTCTTTTTTGTGCCTGTGTGTAAGGCTGGCTAGGGAATATCAGCACCTTGCTTTGGCTGGGTTGAGAGGGTTTATTTTCTTATAAAGATGAGGATTCTGTTTCCAAAACTAACATTTTATTCTGCAGTTTTTAAGCACCTAATTTGTTGGCACAATGAAATGTTAGGCTAATGAAACTGAATATTCCTAGAGATTTAGCTTATTATAGAAACCTTCTTTTCCAGGGTGACTGAATTAACTGGATATGAGCCCCAAGATCTGATAGAAAAAACCCTCTACCACCATGTTCATGGCTGTGATGTGTTCCATTTACGATACGCTCATCATCTGTGTAAGTATAAAGAATGCTAGACTGAAATTTATTAAGTACAGTGAGTTTTGCAGACAACAGACGCTGTGCTGGAAAGTAGAGAAGGCTTTCCAAATCTTGACTGGAGCTAGATTTTCAAAAGTGCTTGGCTGTCACTTAAGGAAACCATTAGTTCTGCAAATAAGCTAGATACTCAATATGCTGTGCTTCTGAAAAGAAAAAACCAAACCAAACCCAAACATATCTGGCCACTTTTGTCTTTTTACTTAAAGGATCTACGTTGTTTTGAAAATTTGGACTTGATTCCAGGTGGTGAACTCTAGAAGGAAAAAACCAAAAGAGCAAACGAGTGAAAGGGGAAAAATCTGAACTTTACTAGTCTCTGTTGTTAAAAGAAAAATTATGCAACAGCTCTCCATTCCTCTGAAATATGTTAGTAATAATCATCCCGTGTTTGAAGCGAACACAAACCCAAAAAATCCTTAGACGAATGTTCATTAATAGCATGTGGATGAGGTTTGGAGAATGGAGTGTCAGGAAAAAAAATTACACATTTAATAATTCCCCATCTGCCAACAGAGACACTAATCACATCTTCAAACATCTGGATTTGGGAAGCAGGTCATTCAGTAGCACATTAATTTGAGAAGCAAATTGAGAGGATAGCTGAACTCTGGATATGGCTTAGTCTGCCGCAGCCCATATGATGCAAAGATGACATCAAAAAAAGTGTCAGTGATTTTTTCTCCAGATTGCTCCTGTGGGCTGAAAACAGCCAGAATCAAAGGAGAAAGTAGTCAGTTCTTCACCTTAATATGCGCTGTTCATGAGGACCTGGAATGTAAAGGAGGATGTAACTGTATTTGGCAAGTCAGTGCTGAAATTCCAAGGGTTGACATCTGTTGATGGTAGTGTGTGCTACACCTAGGAAACCAGAAACTGATCTTTACAGCAAGTTCATATTTACCACTGAATATTCTGGGCCATTGCAAACTGAAAACTAGAATAACCAGTGTACATTGTAATGTCCTGCTGGGGGCATCTTCTTTGTAGTGCTAATGTTTGCATCTGGATGTGACTGTTGTCCTGTAAAAAATGTCACTCATTACTTTCACAAGAAGACTTGAAATACTTACGTCAACCAGTATAGAGCTGATTCCATTATAGCCACAATCACCTCTGGAAAAGAGTTCTCCATTTTAGAGCAGAGTGATGTATAATTCCATGTGTGCAGCAGAATACTTGTACTTTGGCTGCCAGTTTGATCAACGTACTAATGGAGTAAGACGAAGAGACACACCATGTTTACTGAATTAACACACCCACACCTCCTCCCATAAGAAAAAAACAACCAACCCTTAACCAAACAGAATAACTAAGAGCAATTCTCTAGATACTGTATCTGAATTACAAAGATAAATTTTTGTAAAGTTTAAAAACATAAGAAAAATGTGAGACATGCACAGAAATTTATGAAACTTTCAAAGCAAATAAATGCCAAGAAGCAAAAAATAATGGCTCATTCTTGGGTAGCAGTGGGAACAGTGCAGAATCACATTCAGAATACCAAGTAATAGGAATTATTAAAACAGATGTAAAGTGTACAAACTTCCTCTGGGGAGCACTGTTATAACTCCCCCACCATCCATTAGTAAACGTCTTAGGAACAAAAACAGTAAAAGGTTGGCAAGTTTGACGTACTATTCTATAAAGCAATCTGATGATTAAGTGTCATCTGATGAAGAAATCTGGAGAGAAACATCTTACACCTAATAAGGGTATTAAGAAAAAAAAAAGGAAAAAAAAAGCCAACTCAAAACTAGGGTAAGCAATTGGTTTTTTTAAAGAAGAAAAAAAAATCCCACACTGAAGATGTAAAGCAGCTGAACTTTAAGTTGGGCAGCATGGAGAACAAAACAAAGGAAACAGTGAGAAGAACAATTTAGAAGTTAAACAGTAGAAGGAATATAAGAAGAACATCAAACTATGAGGAAAATGTAAATGTGAGTATTTGCCTAAGGTGTGCTGGCAGCAAACAACATTTCCTGTCTTAAACATTTCATTAGCTTCCAGCTATATGAAAAATCTTCTGGTGTTTGAACTAGTGTTATTTATTTCTATAGCACCATCAATAAACACAGTGTTTGCTCTGCAACTGCGGAAATGTATCCACACAAATAATGAGTCCCTGCTTAAGGATCTTGCATTCGAAAAGACAGGATAGAGAAGTTGTTCCAGTAAAGACAAGATTTTCCTCTGTTCCACTATAGGCAAAGTATTTTTCTAGCCTCAGGGATATCCCTTCATTTGTACCACCATCTCTCTGTGCAGAGGATTTTGGGCATCCCACATCATTGCTCTTCCCCTATAAACTTTCACAAGAGTCAAGGCAAGGCAAGTCCCAGCCTCAGCTAATGTCATCACCAAACTGTTTTGTTGCTTCCTGGAAGTCAACCTATGTATTTATAGAACCCACCTTATAGCAGAGAACAATTTACACTCTGACCATGACATTGAACCCACATTTTCTCCCCCTGGACATCAAGCCTTCTGGCAGAGCTGCACTAGTTTTTTAAGTGGGCAAAAGTACTGTAGAGCTTGCTAGGGCACCATCGACTGACCGTGCTGTCTGAGGGCTGGGAGGATGATGTCCTGGCCTGCGTGCACCAGGGAAGCTAAACAGTGACAGCTGCGAGTGCGGAAGAGAGAAGTCTGCTTCTTTTAGTGGCATCTAAGTGCAGGCTAGGAACTGCCAGCCACATGCCCGTGAGCCTGCTGGAGCCTTTTAAAATAGTCATTTATGATAGACCAGAAGGACCAGCCCAGCCAGCCCAGTGCCCTTTTCAGCTTGCTTACTAAACCAGGAGGGAACCACAACAGCGGAACACCCAGTTACAAATGGCACATCTAAGAGCCAAGGCTAAAGCCACCGAATCCTCCCTGTTTGATTGCAGCGGAGGCCACCAAGAAGTCTGAGCCTGCACAGATTGTCTTGGTAGTGGATTTACCTCACTCCCATTTCTGAGGTTTCCTAATCAGCATCAAACAGGGTAATTTAACACAGAGTCAAATGGAAATTGACTTCCTTTGCTGTATCAGAAACACAGCTACTGTCCCCCAGCCAAGGTCAGACTTCTCCGATTGCTAAAAATGCAGGAGACACAGAGTCCTCCCCCATCTCAGGAGAAATATTGGTTTGTCTATATAATTAGGAGGGAAAGCTGAACACTGTAGTCCCCAGTGGTCTTCACATCTTTTAAAACACTGTCTTAACTGAAGAGCTAAAATAGGGATTTAAAAAAAATCAGTATGAGAGAGAGAGAAAGTCAAAACTAGCCCCAAAGCACACGCAAGAACTTCGTTATAGCTAGCGATCCATTACAGTATTAATTTGTTTTGGAAGACTGAGTAGCAAGGCATTTAGAATTCAGTGCAAACCTGACCATTAAGCTAGCAGGAAGACTTAGTTCTGAAAAGCTCAGACCACATTACGAAAAGTATCTTAGACAATCTAGGCCAAAATGTAAGCCTCATTTCTTATAGTTGGACCATTTAGATTATAAAACATTAAGAAACATAGTGATTCCATTGCATATAGCTGATTTTTAACAAGTATTTTTAGAACAGACTTACTTGGTATTGATACATTGAAACTTTGAGTAGCACCGACAAGACCTTTGCCTTGTAGTGGTATGTTTCACTTAAAGAGTTCACATGCCTTTATATTTTGTAGGTGTGTTTACATACTTACACACGTTACTCATGATTTTCTTCAGTATCGGTACATATGTACACCTCCACCCCATACAGTGTTTCATGTATCAATGTAGGTATGAGAAAGGACATGGACAAGTAGGAAGCAAAAACTGCTAAGAGAGACTTCAAACTCTAAATAAAACTCTTGGCGTTCTGCAAGATGTTGTTGTTTATCTTGTTGCTTTCTGAACAAATGGATATTGTATCCTGTAATGGAAGGAGAAATGACACTTCCAGAAAGACCTTTTTGTAAGAGCCTGAGTTTCTTAGGGAGATAAACTAGATTTGAAGAAAAGTTTAAATATGTTGTGACGTGCATGGATGGATACAAGTGTAAGCAGTCCAGAGAGATGACCTATATGCTACAGACAAGAACTCTTGCTTTTACATTAGGCTATTCACATAACTGTGGCCTCTGATTACTACTGAAATTACAAATCCCTACTCCCCCAAGTAACAACCAAACAAAAAAAAGCCAAACCCAGCAATGATTGATAGCCACATAGTTAATTACCAAACAGTAAACAAATGTCCAAAGATTAGGCACTCTTTAGTTTTCAATTTAATATTGGATGCCCTCCCTGTCAGAAAAATCTTCCATGAATAATAATTACAAGGCCATATATTTTAATTTCAAGTGTTCGTTTGCTCTACTAGAGTTGGCTGAAAGAGAACGCTTGTTTCGTTTCCTTATTATATATCTGCTTCTGCACCTTGCACACACAATGAGAGAACAAAGTCACAGTGAGCTTTGCTATTAAGTTCAGTCTAGCACAAGCCCTGCATTTGCAAGGGCTTAATCAAGTATTAGATAAAGGAGTTGCTATTATTGATCACCTTTTTTTGGACATAGTTTGTGAAGCAAGCTCAGTCCCTTATTTCCTAATTTAAAATAAATAATTGATTGTATAGGTGAGTAAAAAGAGTTTCTTCAAGGAATGTTCCAGGGTCACAGAAGAGAAGAATCACCTTCGAAGGATGAGCATTGTCTTCTAGTCAATCACTAGATTCACAAGAAGCCTGGCACTGAATCAGAAATATTTGTGGCTAGACTGAATACTTAGAGATGCTGCACAACTCCTACTATAGCACAGCCTTATGACAAAACATCTTTGTTCACAGAGAATCCAAACTAGTATGTAGAGGATTATATTTCTAGTGAAATCTGCCAGAGTAACTGATTCACCTCTCTGTCTTTGTGTGCTTAAGAACCAAACAGCACTTTAATTTTACTCTTTTAAACCAGCCCTCAAAATGTAGAGCTTACAGAGGAAACGGCATCGTAGCATAAAATATATTGCAAAACACACAAAAATGTATCAAGCTATGAATGACAAAAATGCTTCCAAATACACTGGGAAAATTCAAGCTAGTTGTGTCCACTTTGAAATACTTTTGCTGTCTGCTGAAACTGACTTTTTTTTTCACTTAGAAGATTAGAAACTATAGGTGGTTTTTTTGCAGAATATAAGCATAAGAGAGCAAGGTGAACTGGAAAAGAAGGAAGAGAAACCTTAACAGTAACATGACCCTGTGAAACTACGTAGAGACGCAGGACAGATGCCTTTGCAGGGGAGCTACTTAAAATTTGGTGGGAGATGGAGGAGATTTAAAGGAGAGGAAGGAGGGAGAAAAGTCCCTGCCTCGCATGCAAATCTCTTCAGATAGTGGTCACAAGTCCAAGCAGTGTGAAATGCTTTGTTTCATTGTATTTGCAGTGTTGGTGAAAGGTCAAGTCACAACCAAGTACTATCGACTACTGTCCAAGCACGGAGGCTGGGTTTGGGTACAGAGCTATGCAACCATTGTGCATAACAGCCGTTCATCACGGCCTCACTGCATAGTGAGTGTCAATTATGTCCTTACGTAAGTCAAAATACTTTGTACCATTATGTGTTATCAGTATTTGATTCACTTTGTGTGTTATCAGGAATTGATTCATTACTAATTAAATCCTTTAAGTTTGCTTTACTTGTGTCTTCCAGTATCATTCTGTGCTTGCATGTTATAGCCACTTTTCTCTCCTCACATCCTCCCTGTTTTAGTTACGTTGAGGTAAAAAGCGTTGATATTCCTGATGATTACCATTTCCACCTTATGCTTGAATGTAACATCACTTGTGGTCACTCCCATTAGACCTGGACCCCAGTTCTGTAACTAGCATCAGAACTGCGCTGGGTCCGTCCAGACGCAATGAAAGCTACTGCTACCTAGCAGAGGTGACAGTGTCAATTTGGGAGACAGATCAGGTTTTCATTTCACGAAAATGAAAACATTCTGAAAGCTAATATGTATTTTCAAAGGAGCTATTTTGGATTTGTATGGTATATTTGAATATGTCATTTATGAGACTGTTCTTTTGCAGAGATATTGAGTATAAGGAACTTCAGTTGTCACTGGACCAGGTCACCATTTCTAAGTCACAGTTTTCATGCAGAAACTCAGTATCTACCTCGCAGGAAACAAGGAAAATAGTAAAACCCAAAAGTAATAAAATTAAGGCAAAACTCAGAACAACGCCTTACCCACAACAGGTAACCTTTCCAGCAACATTTACTTACCAATCATAGTCATAGAGTGCTTGGGATGGGACAGAGATCATCCAGAACTGAACTTACTGTTAAACTGACTATAGGATGCTCTGCCACAGGAACTCCCCTGTAGGCCAGAACACAATTAGACCCTTTTGTTCTTGGGGTGATCAGCACAAATGGTACAAACCAACTCTGTTGAATGATGCAAATACAAAAAACATTTGGATGTGGAGTATGAAAAGTACTTCAAAACCAATGTGCTTTTTTGGTAAAAAGAAGGAAAATATGTTCTAAGAATAGCTGTGTTGTGAAAATTTGCACTGGTGTAGAATTCATCTCATTCACTGTTGATATGCAGAGTTCTTACTGTCACATAGGTATTAGCAGTTTCCTTTACACTGAACAATGTGTTGTAAGAGTGAATTCTAGCAAACAGAGCATTGCAGTGGCATTTGGAATATCTCTTACTGTCACTGGATGAGGTAGAACCAGACATGAAAGGAAAATATGGAGACTGTCCATAAAACTGGGTTGGAGAGACTTAGATCCACCTCGAGACAGTCTGAGACTCTGCAATGAATATTGCTGGAAAGAGCTACTATTACCTTAAAACAGCAGTGAATGCAGCTGGCACGCATTCTGCATTCAAAACAGCAGGAGCCCAAAAAGCATTTGGAGCCTGGAGAGGAGAGTGGGAGAGACTAGGAAGAAAAAATCGCTGTGACAGAAGCTGATGCAAAGGACAGGTTTTGCCTTCCTATCATCTGAAAGCTTGACATGCCAGCATATGCAAAATCATGTTCATGGTCTACTGCTCCATTTTATCAGTGACTTCCAGTGCTACGCTACAAACTTCTGCCCTCTGCTATTTTTAACTGTCTACAGTTACTAGCAAAAATCCAACTGGCAAAATTATCAAATAAACTCTTAGCATTAGGATGACAAAATCATTTTTTGTTCCCATGTTAAGTGAAGGTAAACCATGAAGGTTATTGTGAAGACAAAGATCTTTAAATGTACTGGTAAGCCAGCCCCTTTAAGGCAGTGAGATTGCAGTTCAAGGAGGCCCAGCTCTGGGACCCTGTACGATATGTTATGCGGTTTCATATAAATGTTAGTTATTTAATTCTCTTCTCTTCCTTCTCCTTTTTTTTTTTTTTCCCCCAGCAATACAGCTCATTCCAAACAGACAAACTGGAATGCAGCCAGGTGGGAAACTGGCGATCCAGCCCTGCAGTGAACGCTGCCACCATTCAAGAACAAAACTTCCATTCAGAAAACAGTGAACTTTTATATGCCCCATCATATAGCTTGCCTTTCTCTTACCATTATGGACACTTCCCTGTAGATTCTCATGTCTTCAGTAGCAAAAAGCAAATGCTGTCTTCGAAGTTTGGGCAGTCTCAAGGAGCACCTTGTGAAGTGGCTCGATTTTTCTTGAGTACATTGCAGACAAATGGAGAATGCCAGTGGCATTATGCCAACTCCTTGGTACCCAACAGCCAGTCACCATCCAAAAATCTTCCTGATCAGCCAATGAACATCATCCGACATAATCTTGCACAGAGTTATGAAGGTGGGTGTCATTTTAAAAAAAGAAAAAAAGCAAAGCAAAGCTGTGGGGTGTCTGGTAAGGATTTGTAGTTGTAGTTTGAAAACAGGAATTATAAGATGCTTAGGAAACAGAAAATTAGAAACAGGGAAGTGTAACAACCACTATGTTTATAGTATTTAATGTGTTCATAGTATTTAACATGTGTTCATCCATATTCCCATTGCCATTAGCACTTGATTAGGAATATTATAAGCATCATCTGCAAAAATGTATTCACCAGCATCACTTTCAGAACAGGGCAGAAATACCACCTCCTTTGATAATGGTACAGTTTACCTTCATGTTTCGCACTGTCAGAGTTAATTAGGTGAATTGCTCAGGTAAGTCTATGCTGAAGTCAGAAAGAAAGAAATGTACTTCAGCTCACATATAGAAATTAAAATAAACATGATCGATTTCCATAAAATGTGAAGGTTGTCCTTTCTGAGTATGAAGCCATTCTGAAGGTCTTTACCTTATAGTTACTACAGTGAATGAGTAAATGAAATGCACTCTCTTCTGCTTTATATGAACATGTCTTCAGTGCTCCTCCCTGATCAGCTGCATTATCTCTTTATAGAGACAGCTCAAATACTTGGAAGGAAGCACTGAAGACATTGACTTCTCTGAAGTGGCAACCTATAAGAAATAAGCTTACAAAGCTATAAAGGAATTAAATTTAAAGAAGTTCAATATACAAACTAATCCTTAGATCTCACATGCATTACATCTACCTGCATACACCATTTTGATTAGTTAAAAATCACTGATGTGGACAGATTGGTTGACATATTATTATAAAGTTAGACAGAAACACTCCTTTCTTCTAGCATCATTGAGGATGGGATGGAGGAAGTGGAAATTTAAAATAAAAAAGCTAGAAAGGGTAGGCTCAGGATTCTTGAGTACCAGAAACATTTATTCACTTAGGGACATGACATTAGATAGTCTAGATCTGAAGGGAATACCTGCAGTTGTTAAAAGCTGAGCTTGGTACTTCAGACAGAAGGTGGTACGACACAATGACAGAAAAAGCCAATGAGCATAGAAGCAGAGAAGCAACTTACAAGTGATTGGTTGCTACGGGCAGATAACTCCTGCTAAATATATTGTCAGAAGGATTCCACGGGAATATTTTTAAATATGTTAGGGAAAAAAAAATCCCCTCAAAAAACTACTAGTGTTTTTCAGTTTCATCACACAGGCATACCTTCACCATTCCTTCATGAACAGGAAAATGGAGGTCTGATACTCATGGTTCTTGCTTCTGCTTCTACTTAAGATTTTGTTGCTTAAGTTGGAATACATGGGTTCTCTTCTGAGCACAGATGTAGTTTAATGGATGTTTAGCTATTGGGCATTTGATGAAAACTGACTTGGTACAATCTGTTTTCTGCAAAAGCACAATTGTACGATTTAGGAGGAGACAAAGAATATGGTCAGACTCAGGCCTGGTCGGAGATCATTCCTTGAGTTCACACACAGTGTAATAAGAGGGCAAACGAAAACAGAGGCTCCTCTGCAAAGAGGGTTTATATCTAATTGTTTCAGAGCTTATTTCCTCCTGAGGTAGAATTAGCCCTGATGTACTTTTGCTGAGGCTGGTGGCAGAAGAGAAGTCTGAACCTTTGGAAGAGACTTTTTACTTTGAATTGAAAGGGGCATCTGATCTTCCTTACATTGTCAGCTGCTGCTTTTTCCAGCAGTTCACTGAAAAACTGTCAGCCAGTAAGCTTCAAAGCAGAAAGGATCTGCTTAGCGTCATTATCTTCAATCCAAAGGCAATGCCAAATATGACATCTGGCAACCGGGTTGGAGGCAAGGGCTATTCCACATCACATCCATAGAAGCATCTGCCAAAAATGCCGTAGGCCAGAGACATTTTTCTCTATGGAAAATAGCTTCTTTTGGAGAGATCAGAGATATTAAGATGATCATGCCAAGCCATCAAAGCTCTGGAAAAGCACGTAGCAGATAAAACTGCCTGCCAATCAGATGCTGCTGCCTCAGAATCTGGTTTTGAAGCTTCTTCCCCTTTCTTCAGCTGGCCTAGTCATCAGAAAAGAAACTCATTTCAGAGAAGGCAACCATATTCTTAGTCAGGGAAGTTTCTTTTATACACTTGAATGGGTACTTTACTTAAGTGGGTACTACAGTACCCACTTACTAACTTACGCTGTTGTCTGTACTATCTGTGTGAAGCTTAGTGCCACTAATCATGCCAAAACTTAGAAAATAGCAACAAAACCTGTGAAATAGCTCTGGTCTATCTTTCTCCCCAAAACCAAATCCCTAGGCTTAGCCTGTGACTACCAGAAGACATACATGACATCTTCTTTGAAAAGTGTATTCTACTAGAGACAAAGAGGTCTTGAAGTTCATGTTGTCTTACTACTCTTTTTGGAGGGGGAATAATGGAGAACACAGTAATTACAACATCAGGCCATGCCTCAGATGATTTGCAACTAGGATTCAGACCAGGACATAGCACAAATATTGAGCTAATCTAAAAAAATTGAATTTTTATGGGCATGGATGGTATTAAGATCTGTTATATTTTTGACTTGTTTGAAATGGAGGAGTATCAGCATGCCTTTGTGACATAGGAGCGCATCACCTGAGCAGTACAGTGGCTCTGCTTGTTGGCCTTCAGCAAAACTCAGAGCAATTGAGTAAGTGCTCCTCTTCTCTGATGGTGTTTTTGTACAAATGATTAGGAAATATACTGAAATGTCATGGGCTACATGTCAACATTCAAGCATTGGCATATTGTCTTTTCACAACATATAGTAACTCTCAGGAGTCCATTCTTCTGAGATTAGAGTAGACCAGAAAGCCCAAGAAAAATCATGCAAGAGAAAGAGGGCTTCAGCTGTGTCCAAAAACAAGATGCAAAACTCTGCTGGTAAGGACTGCATACCTTCTGCAGGAAGATCTAAGCTGAGTACCACCCTTTCTTTGATTTAAGCTAGTTCCAAGATGCCTTTCTTTCATTTTTACTGGAATAGACTGGGGCAATGAAAGAACAAGGGACAGCTCTACCTATTAATGTTTCGGTACAGAAAGACATGTTTGGCAATTAAATACCTTTTCTTCAAGCATCTTTCCCCATTGAGCACCATTTGATCTTTTGTGTTATTTAAAGATGAGGAGAGAATGCTCTTCGCTGCAGCACTATTTTTGACAGGGAAAGATTGCTCTAGTACACTGTAACTATGAATCGACATGAGATGTCTTAAACAAAGCCCACTACCTGCTAGAGTTGTCTTCCTGTTCCCACTCAGATGGTTGGATGCTGAAATCTGAGGAGGCTGCCAGGTGCTGGGGCTCTTATCTCTTGGTCTGCAGAGGGACCTGGACAGTCTGGGTCAATGGGCTGAAGCCAATGGGATGAAGTTCAATAAGACCAGCTGCAGGGTCCTACACTTTGGCCATAACAACCCCCTGCAGCGCTACCAAGTGGGGGAGGAGCGGCTGGGGAGAAGCCCGGCAGAGAGGGACCTGGGAGTGCTGG